GCTTTAATTAGGAGATCAAGGCTGGGAGTTAATGTATATTTAACAGTGTTGAAAATCAGGCCAGTTATTTAGATGCCTAAGCTTTAGGCATCTGTTTTGGATAGAAAAGGCTTACATCTCTTTTGAATATGTTAGTAATCAAGGTAATCATATCTGTCCTCAGTCTGAGTCTGGTGGCTAATATTCTGCTTTGCATTTTTCCTCCAGGGACCTAACACAATCATGATCTGCATGGTCATCTTACTGAATATTGGTCTGGCCATCTTATTTGTACATTTTCTGACATGATGTGCCCCTCAGACAAGGTAAGAACAATAAATTCAATGAACTGGAATATTAGCAAAAGAAAATTCTCTACCTCCTTTTTTAACATTTCAAAGAAAGAAAGATTTAAATTTGGATCCTTTAATAAATGACCAGCTTAACTGAGTGGATAGATAATTCATAGCAAATATACATTCAATATGTGTAATATCTTTTTATGTTTTCAGTTAGTCTGCAGGCAGATTGAGGTTCTCAGATTTATACATTGTCAGGACTTTTTGTGAAATAACTATATACATTTGAAGAAAAAAGATTTTCCAGATTGTTAAGCAACTGAATACTTCTATTACTCCACGGTCACATCTACACGTCACCCTACATTGCTGCAGTGATGTTCTACATCGCTGTACAATACGCTACAGTGATGTAGTGATCATATGAGTCTACACATGACTGGCAGCTACTTCACCGTAGCGGCATGCTCCCTTATTTTAGCGTGCTGCTACAGCCAAGTAGCACCTAAAACTAAACATATGCTGTGTGCATGGCACTGTATGGACAGTTTAGTATAGTAAAAGCTGCATTATCCGGCACCTTACTAACCGGCATGCCAGTTGATGCGGCAAAAGCGAAACCGGAAGTGCCCACCGTGGCACTTCCAGTTTTGCCGAGCCCCCACGGCCTGGGACAAAGCAGATTGTGCTGCTGAGTCCCTATTGCCTGGGGCATAGCAGTCTTCCTCAGTGTGCCTGGGGTCACCCTCCCTTTCCCCTGGCACACTGACATGACAGGAGGGGTGGTGGCACGCCAGACGCGGTGGGAGGGATGGCGGCCCGAACAGGCAAAGATGCCTCTCAGGTGACCGGCATATTTGGTTATCTGGCACCCCCCCATTCCCCATGGGTGCCGGATAACAAAGCTTTTGCTGTACTTCCAAAAGGAAGTACTAAAGCATGGCGCAGGAACAACGTTGCCGTATGGCGACCTGTAGACACACTCCATGAGTCAAAACATGCCTAAATAGCATATCAAAGGGTGGAAGACCAACTACTGTGCTAGAACAATTTACTAACTTGAATGATTAATTCTCAATCAGCAGTTTGTTCATTAGGGATTTGTTTTCCAGCATTAAAAATTAAATGATTTTCATAGAGTACAAGTCACAGTATGTATGTTTGACTCCCTCCCACCTCTGCCCATTGGAAGAAAGTGATCCAAAGAGTAAGACTTCCTCTGGAAGAACTTGTGATACAAATTGAAAATCACATTTCACTAATGTTCTGAAAAGTCACTAAAAATATGCTTTTTCCATTAATATTGTTGCCACCTAATTTGTATGCTAGTATATTTATGCAAACTCATGTTACTGCATTCCCTCATATTAACCAAAGCAGAATCAAAGGAAATTTGAATGGATATTGGTTACAATTTTATGTAGCTCTGATTAGCATCCATGTTAATCCTGTCAGTGCAGAGAATCCTAATTAGCAGCCTGGTCAAGAGTAGATTTACACTGAAGGAGACATGTCCTCATTATGCTGCAGTTCAAAGTGTAATTTGGAGGCTGAATGGTGGTGACTAGAGGCCCTGGGCTGAAACTGTGTAAGAAAAAATAATGACTCTGAACTTAAACCCTAATCCTGACCTAGCCTCAAGGCTGAAGCTGATATAAACGGGTGTCTCCTCAGCCCAGGTCAGCAAATCAAGCTCCCTTTCTGTTGGGACTCCAAGGAGATACAACTGATCAGTTAGAACACTGCTTTATTCATCTTAATCTATCGATCGTTGTTCAAATTCTGTGACTGAAGTCAACGTGGGAAATATGTTAACACGGTCATCCTTTGCATTGGAAAATGGCAGCTCCTAGTAATTAGATTTGGTTAAAGGCTTGACCCTTTGGTGAGGTAAGAGATTTTTTGTGACTGAATCTAGTTTTGCACAACCTCAGTAGGAATGGTTATGTGCTGGGTATAAGTACTGCTCCTTGTTGACTCTCCCACTGATCTTTGTCCAGAACAGGCATTGTCACTGATGGAATCCACAGACCTTAGCAGGGATTAGACTTGCGACCCAGCGGAAACATCTAAGAGGACGTTAGTACCTCAGGTTCCACTGCAAACATGAACCTAAAAAGAAAGTTTCTGCTAGCCTCAATGCTCTCAATTGGCGGCCAGCTTCTTTGGTCCATCAAGAAGAAGCCTGGATTTCTGCAGCCCATCTTCGCTCTTTCCTTTATATGAACAAGCCGTTGCCTTAAAGTGTCCTCACCAAAGTCATCAGCTACTCTACAGTGCCAAGGAAGGGGAATTTTTCTGTAGTTGTAGACCCATGAATGAGAACTCTCTTTCATGCACTCAAGTGCCCTGTGTCTTTTGACTCCCTTGGTTGCCTCAATGTAATTTATTTCCCAAAGAATAACAGTGAATACAAGGAGATAATGTAGTGTTCATGATAACCATGAGTACGCCTAATCGCCATGCCACGGAGGGATATTCAAACAAGTCCCCCAAACCCAAGAGTATTATGTCTCTTCTATTAGCAAAAGCCTCAGGCCACTTCCTCTGCTGTTACAGAATTCTAGTTAAATAGCTAAGCATACTGATAAGGTCTTGACCCCAAGTGAAGCAAGGAACTTCCTATAGAAAGCATATCCTTCAGGGAACCCATGCTAGTGATGTCCTAACACCTAAGTTATCACCCCAAGTGATGAATGCAAATTGTTTCCTCTCCTATCTTCTATAATCATTTCCTGCTTAAGGGCAACTGAAACTGGACTGCATAAAATGCAAGCAAACTCGATCCAGATGCCTGGATTGCACATGATGCTGCTGGAGAACCAGTAAGCAGGGTGCACTCGTTTGTTCATGTTTGACGGATCGGCCAATCTGAGGGCTTTCACTTGAGCAAGGAGTGCTGCAAATGCTAGTAGATGGAGACTGTGTCCATTTAAGGGCTAAGCAGCGTCCAGACACCCTCTTGTTGCCAAGAGTTGTCTGTGTAATTAAAGAAGATCATCTAGCAGCAGATTACTCCACAGCTATAACTTGAGATGAAATAGATGTGCTGAACTCCTTTTCTTTAACACAGTGAAAATGGTGGAAGTTTCTATTACAGTGAGTGATTTACCTGGTGCCATCTTTAGGTATCACCAGTTCCTTCCCCTTCTAAATCCTGGCATGTAGGCCTGGCATCCCAGCATTGTTAGTCCAGTGAAACAAATATGTGTGAACAAATGCTCAAATATATGTATGAAACTATTACAATAAGAGGCCAGTTTATTCATGAAAAAAACAAAGCTGAGGAACTCAATAGACTCCAGTGTATCTGGCGCTGTGGCAGAAAAATACACGGAATACAGGCTTTGACCAGCAGTAAAATAAAGAGGGAATAATGCTAGACCTTATTCTGGTGTCCTAAAGTTAAATGCCTTGGGGATACACAAGAGTCTTTATAAAGAGCTACAAACTGACTACAAAAGGGCTACATCCCTTTGGAATGAGACACTTCCACCATGATACTTGTGACTGTTATAGTGCAAGGATAAAAAGTCAGCACAGATGAAGTTACAGTTTAGTGTAAAACTGAGTGCTCAGATATTTCTTCCTTTTTAAAAGCAATATGCATTTTGTATCCATTTTTGAAGGTAATGAAAACTTGTATTTATAGTCAATTGTGCACCTCACTGTATACTGAAGTCCCACGGGGGGTGGGGCAGGGAGGGGGAAATGAGAGAATGTGAAGAATGAGGGGGAAATGATGTTTAAGTGGGGGGAGAAACAGTCATTTCCAGTTACCAAACTGTAAGGAGTTTAGATAGGGTGTGGCAGATGTTGAAGAGCTTAGTACAGATTAGAGACATGAAGGTAACAATTCTGTGTGGTTTTGGTATAATTTATCAGTTGTTGAAGTTAAAATTGTGATGTAGAGCAGTGGTTCTCAAACGTCTTTGTACCAGGACCCATTTGTAAATATTGGTGGCCAGTCCCGACCCAGTGCCCCGCACTCCCTACCCACTGCCCCCAGACTCGAGGCCCCCAGTCCCCAGTGTGTGGGATTGGGGTGGCGGGGGGTCCCCCAGTCCCCAGTGTGTGGGACTGGGGTGGGGGCGGCATTAGGATCCCAAGCAGCCCCTAGCAAGCTGGAGCTCTGCCAGCCTGCAAGGAAAACCCGTGGTTTCCCACGTTTGTCTCCTTTACAGGAGAATCCATTTTAAAAGTTTGTTTGTGACCCATTCATAGATTCTTGCGACCCACGTTTTGGTCGCAACCCATGGGTTGAGAAATGCTGATATAGAGGAGTGACAGTAATTCTTTTCTCTTTCCTCTTTTTCCCTTTTCTTTTTTGAACCAAGTTTATTTTATAATGCTAGTTAGCTCAGGAACGTTGCCACAGTAGCAATTACATGATATTAACTGGTGAAAGAGAAGAGAATTTGAACCCTTTCTTGAATCCACATGGCTGTATCAGTCCTGAGAGAGCTGTCCGGCATGTCTTAGGACTTCCATGGGACACAGTAGTAGGAATTTGCTTCCTTTTTTCTTTTTCCTAATTATAAATGTATTGTAAACACCAGGCTCAGTTGCCTTGACATTTTATGCTCTGTTTGCTGGCAGTCAGTGGTCAGCTGCACAGCTTCAGTATACCAGCTGCTTTTTATAACCACATATATGATTACCTTTGGGAGACCTAAGAGGCCTTTATCTATCACAGAGCACAAAACTGATCTTTTCAAAAATCCTAAGGCCATTTCTCCCCCAGTTTTCTATGCATGTGATGTGCACTCAGCTATGTGCCTTGCTCCTAATAATGTTGTGAGAAAAGTAGGTAGATTTGCTTTTATGTGACACATATATAAATATATCCATATTTGCATGTGGATGTATGTATATATACAATATTATAGCTCCTTAGGGATTTTGTTTCCTTAGATGCAGAGTAACAGATTTACCTCAAACTGCATGCTTTCCAAGCTGACTAAGATATGTTGTTAAACTTTTCAGGTCTTACGAAGCTACAAATATATTTCACTTGTCACAAGGAACACCTTCACCCCAGGTTTTGCAATCTGTGTACTACAATCTGTGTAATGCTGTCCAGAATTTTCTGTCAATTGTTTTGCTGGATTACGTGCAATAATAAACAGTTATCTGCTCACTTTATTTATTGTGCATTTTTAGAGTTTGGCCAGACTTAAATGAACAGTTAGGACTGTGTGGTCCAAAATTTGATCTGCGGCACTTGTTTGGGTTTTTCCCCCTTCCTCTCCTCTCTTGTATCTGTGTGCTTTCCAAGAGATATTTTATCCAAATAGGTGTTTTAGTTCTGGCTTTTAAAATACTTTGCTGGAAAACTCACAACACCCATGGAGATCACAAACCAGAGCATTGTGAGCTGCTCTGTGTCATGGATAGCCTTATAATACAGTATCAAGATCAGTGTAGACAATGCTTGAGGAGGAGGCCCTACAAGGAGAGGACCAGTGTACACAAGTCCTCTTGCAAAAGCAGGCCTGCGAGTGTGCACATGTCCACATGCCAGGCTTGGAAACGGTTTAATTTAATGGAAAATATATTCTTTACAAAGCAGGCAGCCTACAGTCAGAATAGAACAGCAGAGACCAGCAAGGGGCTGGAATGTACCGTGTGGGAGCACTACAAAGGCTCCTCAGCTGCCCCAGGTTTGTTATTCAAGACTCCTCAGCTGCAAGGCTTGGTTCAGCCTAATGCGGAGTTTGGGTGACTGGAGAAATAAGAGAGACCCCCCCCCTTCCCCCCCCAAGACATAACAGATAACTGTGAAACGATATACATGTTACTGCAAGGAAAGATTCCAAACCTAATACCCCGGAGAGATTCCAGTCCAGAAATACCAGCTGCAGTGTAGTATGGAGAGTCTGTAAAATAACTCCAGCAGCAAGAGAGCATGCCAGCAGAAAGGAGCAGTTGTCTTCCTATTTCCTTATGTTTTATGTGCTAGACCCCTCTACTGGAAAAGTAAGGCCATTACAGATTGAAGTGTGATATGCATAGTTGTCATGGCTAAGCCAAGAGGGGAGTAGGGGGTGCACATCTCTTTTGGGTGGGGTAGCTAGAAAATTGTAATGGAAGGGTGAAGACATAGGTAACAGGAACTGATCCAGTTAAGACTGGAAGCCCTTAGGGATGTGTGGATGGGATTAAAATTCTAGGGACATATTTTGAAAAGTGCTTAGCCTCTAGGAGCTCCCATCGTTCTCAAATGTGAGAGCTGAGTACTCCGGAAAATCTGGTCCTTGGCCTCTCTACTAGGGCCCTCCACACTTGCCTATAGGCTAGCGCAATTGCAACTGAAGGAGTTAAATTCTTCAAAGTGCAAGGGTTGTGATTCAGGACCACAGGTCATATAGCAGAAGAAAAAGATGAGTGAATTCATTTCTGCCACTCAAAGGGAAAAGGTCAGATTACAGGCCCGTTAAATATTTTTCACATAAACCCACAAAGGATGAAATAACAATGCATGGGGGCAATAAGAAACCTCAGCCTTGGTACCCCCAATGTAGGACTCTGCATGTCTGGATACTGACTCTTGATACAGTCTCTGCACCCCTAGTTCCCCAGCAAAGGACCCTCTCACCCTCCCATCCACACACTAGACTATATATAGGCTCCAGACTTATAGTTCAAACCCATTACTCAGTGGTTGACATCTGAAATCTTTGGGCTGAAATTTGAATTCATTTTCCTTACCACAGGGTGGCACAAAGGATGCTTGGCAGCCAACGTGCAAGCAAACTGCACTATCCAATGCACAAAACTTTTAAGCTATAGGAGTCTCTGGGCAGCAGCTGCTGATACGCAGCAAAAAAGCAAGCTCAACAGACAGATTGCTGTGAGCAGCAAAGGTGATTTGTCGGTACACACTCCAACCCAAGCACCTGAGTGGAACCAGAATCATAGCTACAAGCTAGCTAGAGCCATAGCTTCAGGTGAGTCATATTTGACTGTTCCCTCATCCAGGGCACATTGACTCCTGCTTGAAAGAGGCCTCACTTTCTAAAGGCTGGCTCACGGTCTGTATGCATGCGTGTATATAATCACCCTCACATTTTATGTAATTGCATTTTCAAATTAATATATCTATATCTATAGGAAGGCTGTATGACTTCTGCATTTGGTGCTGGTTAATGCATTTGGTGCTTGTTCAGTTTGGGTTTTCATATTCCAAGGAGGACATTGATAAATTGGAGAAGACTCAGAGAAAGATCGAAACATACCTTACAGATGCTCAACGGCTCAATCTACTTCCCAAGGGGTGCATCTACACATGCTATTAAGGTGATTGAATAAACTCCAGCATAGTTCACACAAGAGTTTATTGCTCCTGGGCACGCTGTTTGCACGTGCGCCCAGGACCGCAGCATGTTGTCCCAGGACAGAGCAGCCCTGGCTGGCAGGGGGGCCCAGGGATCAGCCTGCTAGACTGGGGCTGCTCTAACCCAGCTCAACGTGCTGCAGAGGGGCTAGCTGGGGCACAAGAGTGCTTCAGTGTGGAGCTAGCAGGCAGGCAGCCCCCTCACTGAAGCACCCTCGTACCCCAGCAGCTCCATCAGCGTCTACATGTGCATTGCGATGAGGTAAATAACTCTGCAGTAGGATAGTATTAGTGTTTAGCAGTACTATCCTACAGTGGAGTTAATTAGTTTACTCCATCCTGACAGCACCTCGCATGTAGACAGTGACGTTTTACTGTGGAGCTACTTAGGCAACTGCAGTAAATGTCTCGTGTAGAGGTACCCATCCTGTTCTACTCTAAATGTATTATCTCTGTTTTGTTCAGTGCCAAGCACAATGGGGCCATAGTCCAGGGTCGAGGCTCTTTGGTACGACAACAATACAAATAACCAGTAATACATTTATAGCTGTGTGAGAAAATATTAAATACAGAGAAACTGTGAGATAATCACCCTTTTGGGAAAATATACAGGGAACTGGCCGCACTTCTAACATACAAATTCACCCACTTCCACATGCACCTCAAAGGTACAACAGAAATGACTGAAGGAGAGTAATGGATGACCTAATACATGCATTTCACATAAGCATAAGCAAAAGAATGGGGATGCATATAGAGTAGACCAGCTGGCCTCTGCCTTTACCACTGAGGCATGAGCGCCATGATTTCACAAGACACAAGCTGGAAGAGCAGGAATCTGAATGTCATAAGTGAAGTCCTCAAAGCTGGCCCCAGGACTGGGAATTTTGTCTGTCACATAGTTAATGCTTTTAGAGGCAAATAATTATTCAGACAAGAGTTTTCCTTCTGAAAGCAGGTGGATTGTCAATCTTGAGTCTCACACATTGCATGATAATGTACACGCTGTCACATCTTAGGCTTTTCACAAACTACTTTTGTGTTGAAGGGGGCGATGAGGTCCACCTGTGTAGCTATGGGAGTCTGTGGCTAAAGATTAGGGCTTCAGAGATTCACATTCTTTTTCTGGTCTTCTCTTGAAACTGCAGGAATGAAGAATTAGGAAATAGATGCTCTAGTATGGATGTGATAAAGCTTGAATGACCATGGAAGGACAGTGAGGTCAGAAATGTAATTACTATTTGATGGAGGAAGGGAAGTATTAGCTACTTGGCTGAAGAGAAATTTGTATACATTAAAGATAGAGGAAGAACTTTGAAAAATCACAGACCATCACAGTTCCACTGAAATCCAAAGACTTTGCAAAAACATGTTGATTTTGACAAACTTCCATTTTTGTGGGATAAAGTTGAGGGAAAACATTCCAGCAATGCCCAGATGTCTTGTTTTCAGATTGTCTAAATGAAGCATTTTGATTTTTTCATTTTTCAAATGACTTTGTGTTTTGAACTGTTTAAATGTTGAGTTATATGCTACGGTATATGATAAACAGTCAGAATGGAAACAAAACTTGTGTTTTATCAAAAGAAAGAGTTTCACTTGATTCAAAATGAAATTTTGGGGATGAATTTTTTGCAAGGAATTTTAGGTTTTGCTCTGATTCAGAAAAGAGCCATATCTCAAAATAACGTAGTTTTGCTAGAAACAGAATTTCTGTCCTCTACACTGCTTAAATAAATAGGTCCTCACAAATGGAGCAGGTGAATCATAATAAGGTAGAGTCTTTTTTCTACATATGCAGAATATAGGGCATATAGGTAAAGGTTACAAGTCCTACTATAGTTCCACTAGTCTATTATCACCCTCTCATTTCATAGCTACAGGTGTTTGTTTCCAAGGATTGACTGGCTCTTGTGGCCGCAGGATTGCATTGATAGCTCATCTTCGACTGATAGATGCCATGATCCCCAAGCCTGTCTCTGAGTTGCTACTTTCCTGAAGAGAGCCCCCAGCCTGTAAGCCTGGCTTGAATTATTTGTTTCTAGAAATATAACCTTACATATTGAAATACATACTGCTTGTGCCCAGTTTACTGAGTGCGCTCACTCTGCATCAGTGCCCTGTCTCTCTTGTTATTTACCACTCCTCCAAAGTTTTTTGTTACCCGCAGACTTTCTCAGTAAGGATTTTAGGGTTTTTTCCAGGTCATTCTTGTTAGTTGCATTCACTGAAACTGGGCTCGAAGGACCCTACTCAGCAAAAAGTGCAATCATTCAGGCGTCCATGTCTGTTGTTCCAGGACAAACCCTAGAAAGGTTCATGGGATAAAAAGTGCTAACAGTAGGACATCATGAGATGCATCTGAATGGCTGTCCCAGGACTGCATCATTGAAACAATGGCACAAAAGTGCAGTGCATTCAGCCACTCACTAAACCCTGACTGGAAGGGCGATGTGTGTACCTGCTAATCCTTTACTAGGCCAGAAGTCCATGCTTATGATGCTCAAGTGCTTTGCTAAACTGGGATTGTTTATTGAATTCAGACCAAGGCAGGTGTGTCTACCCATGAAACAGTAACTGAAGATTGTTCTAGACAGACATTACTCTCAGTGTCCCAGAGGCAGGGACCAAATACCACCAAAGTTGATAACAAATGGCAGATCCTTGAGTATCTTGCCCTCTGGCTTCCTTTAGGCAGTTCTGTGCTTCAGTTCCTCTTCCTTAAAAATTTTCCACGGCAACTCTATTTGCTCCTTCATCTCCATAATCTCCCTGGACTTAGAGAGAAAAAATCAAGTGACTGT